GTAGAAACTCGCCGTATCATGCGGCTCACCTGTTCGCTGGTGCGTCTGAGGCCTGCTATTGTGCCCTTTGGATCCAAGGACGATGTGAGGTGAAGGCCAAGAACCCGAATATTTTGCACTGACGGGACGGGCCCGAACGGAAGAAAAATTTGAGGCGGCGGTAGCGGAGAGACTGAAAGAAGAGCCGATTTAGCTGGAGAGCACTCCAGGCCGCATGAACCTGCGTAGGTGTCCACCAGAAGGGCAGCCTTTTGCAGGCGTTCTTCGATTTGCGCTAAGCAGCCGGTGTTGGTCCAGATTGTGATATAGTCCGCATATAGTGCGTGTTGTATTCCCTCGACCTCGCTTAGAAGAGAGGGGAGGTTCATCATCGCCAGGTTAAAAAGCAGAGGAGACAGGACTGCCCCTTGAGGTGTACCCCGCGTGCCTAATAAGTACGGGCCGTGTTCGGTAGAATTAAGGCGAATGAAGGCGGTGCGATGTGATAGAAAGGCGCGAATGTAGTTGAAAGTCTTCTGCCCGCAGTTTGTGGTAGACAGGTTAGCGAGTATAGTGCTGTGTTTGACGTTGTCGAACGCCCCGCGGAGATCGAGAGCGAGCACGGCTTTATCGTTATGGCGCATAGTAGTCGGCTCTATGATATCGTGTTTAAGCTGGAGCAGGACGTCCTGCGCCGATAGATGCGGGCGAAAGCCAAACATCGTGTCGGCAAAGGTGCTCCTGGCCTCCAAGTAGGCGGAAAGGCGTTCGCGAACCATGGTTTCCATGAGTTTGCCTGCGCAAGACGTAAGTGAGATGGGTCTCAGTGCCTCAATACTGACGGACTTTGCCGATTTGGGAATGAATGTCACGACCAATGTGGTCCATTCCGTTGGAAGCGGAGAACCGTCCCATATCGAATTTATAAGCAGGAGTAGCGAGAGGTGTGCTTGGTCGGGAAGATTTGCCAGGAGCGATACTGTGATTCCGTCGCGTCCAGGGGCCGTGCCCCGTCGCATTTTCGTGAGTGCAAATCGTAAATCAGAAAGCATGTATGGGGCGTCGAGGTCGGTGTTAGGGGCGCCGGAATACGTATATGCTGGGCCTGCGGGATCAATTGTGCGGCAGATGTAGCGGTCACAAAGTTCTCGCGCGAGTTCATCCGTAGTGCCCTGAAATGCATGCAGAACACGGTGGAGCTGGCGTTGCGTTTCTCCCCTGGTGGTGGAGGGATCGAGAAGGCTTCTAAAGAGTCGCCACGCACTCTTAGAGCTCATCTGGTTTGCAGCCTTCGAACAGGTGTCTGCCCAGTTAGCATCGGAAAGTTGTGCGGAGTATGCGGCCGCCTCTGCAGTGAGCGCCTCAATGCGAGCGCGAAGTTTCCGATTAAGTTTGTTGCGTTTCCAGCGACTTATGAGCCCGCGGCGAGCGTGCCAAAGATGTAGGAGGTGTGGATCGATTGCAGGAGTCAAATTAGAGGTTGTAAGGGTGTGAGTGTTCGCTTGTTTCATATGAACAGCGTATGATGCCCACGCTGCATATTCAGTCGAGGAGAGGCCGGCAGGGAATGGTTGCATTCTGAACTGAGTCCAATCGGTGAGACGGGCTTGGCCCCAGTGTTGGCGCATTTTCTGCCGCGGTGTGAACGAAACGCGGAGTAAAAAGTGATCGCTGCCTAGGTTTTCGCCTAAATTTTCCCATGTAGCATCGCTGATGTGACTGGTGAGGGAGAGGTCGGGGCATGTGTCTCGCGTGACCGAGTTGCCGAAACGTGTGGGTTGTGCCGGATCGGTAAGAAGCGTCAGGCTCAGCGAGGAAATGAGCTCCTTGAGCTCTCTGCCCCGGGCCTTCTCCTAGTCGTAACCCCAGTGAGGGCTGGGGGCATTAAAGTCCCCGACAATCACCAGTGGTTGTCGGGCCGCTATACGCAGTGCCCGATGGAAGAGATGCGCAAACGAAACCCTCGCAAGGCGAGGGGGACAGTACACGTTTAAGATATGTATTGATGGTTGGCCCCTCCGCTGAGACAGCACTGATATCATGCAGTAGTCGTAAGGAAGATCCAGATCGAGGTCGATCTGTATCGCCGTGTAAGCTTTATGCACGAGGAGGCATGTGGTGGTGCCGCCTACATAGGAGCAGTATCCAGAAAGGGATGGAGCAGGGCCAGATTCTTGGAGCGCCAAGACGGCCGGCTGAGAGCCAAGTGAGCTGAGGAAAAGGGAAAGATGTGAACGCTTTCGCCTGTTCCCGAAGCCTCCAGGGTTCCACTGTATGATCTCGAATTTAGACGCAATGTTTGAACGGGACGTACGATTGGTAGCCATCGTGACTGTCCTAGGTTTTATATTTGGTCCTCCCTGTCCCGCTCGGAATCCTCAGAGGCAGGGAGGGGCACAGAGGCCAGATTGTCCGACGGCGGGGTAGTGGTAGCCACCTTACGACGACGCCGTGGAGCTGTACCCTCACTGCTCACCGAGCAGGAGCGGGAACGCGATGCCTTGGGTTGAAACTGGGTGATTGCACAGGCATGAATAGCCTGGGTAACCTCTACTACTATGCGTTGGACCGAGAAGCTGGTGAGGAGGTGATTAATCGAAGCTTCGACGCGCGTGAGGCGTTCCTCTACGCGCGGGGTGTGCTCTTCGCTAAGGAGAGTTTGGTTAGCGGGCAAGAGAACCTGAGGTGCCCCAGGAGCCTCAAGAGCTTCTGGAGTAGACGTGGCACCGGTTCCGAGTGCTGGAGTACACATGGCTGCTTGAACCGGTGGTTTAATGGGAGTGGACTTAGCGCGAGGACTAAGCTTGGACGTAGCTGGCGTAGCCGCCTGGACAGAGGAGGCAATACCGGATGGCCTTGCAGTACACTGTTGTTGGGGTTGAAGTCGCTTATTTAAGAGTTCGAGTTGTTTAGTTAAAAGAGAATTTTGCTTTTGAAGTGCCGCAACTTGCTGGCGAAGGGCCGCAAGTTCGGGAGAAAGAGGATCGACAGAAGGGGGTGAGAGAGGCTTAGAAGCAGCTTTCCCTGCCCAACTGCTCACCTGAGGTACCGCCGCTGGTGCTTCGAGCGGTGGGAATGCTTGCGAGTCGGCGTGGAGTGGTGGAGCCGAATGATGCAGGTTTGTGCTGCTGTCTGGCTGTGACGAACATGAGGTGGTCCCTCGAGGAGATGTTGAGGGCTGCTTGCGTTTCCGACATTTTCGGTATTTTGCCGTGCAGCCACTGGTCCCAGTCTCTTGGGCGCCGTGGCAGAGGAGGCACTTGGGGTGGCAGTCGTGGGCATTGAGACCTGCAGGTGCGGGGGTTCCACATTTGGCACACTGGGTTGGAGCGGCATGAGGGCACTGAGGTGGTCGATGACCGATGGTACCGCACTTGGTGCATACAGGGACCGTTTTCTTGTAGGCGCGGATATACGTCGCCACGCAGTGGTAGAAGAGGAAGCGGGGTAACTTCGTGCCCTCGAAAGTCACCACCACCGCCGCGGAATCTCCGAGTTTGCGGACCGCAAGGATAGTACCTTGAGGCCAATAAAGTTCAGACTTTATCTTCTCCGGGCTTTCAGCAGGGTTTACATTGATGACGCCCTTGCATGTATCCCCTGGTGCCTTGGCGTGGCCTCGAACGGGCAGCTGCTGATCCCCCACCTGCAGCTGGAAGTCCCCGAGGAGTCGCTGTGCCATAGGCAAAATGGTGGTGCTACAGACCAAGATGTTTTGTTCCCAGATTGGCCACACTTGAATTTGCGTGGTAGTCTGGTCGCCGAGGTAGCTGCGCATGGCGTCGCCCGCGCGATCGGCCGGGACAAATGTGCGTAGCTCGCAGGGAACGCGAGGTTTCACTACTACGATGTAGTCGTCGCGAGAGAGGCGAGGAGTTTGACGCAGACGCCACTTGCGTTGCTTCGCTGGCTGCGAGGACGGAGCAGAGGTAGGCACACCACTGGAGGGATGGCGCGCCGGCGTTCCTTGCAAGGCTGGGGAATGGTGGCCCGCCGTGGCGTCTCGTTGTTGTTGAGACGCAGACTTCGATTTCGCTTGCTTGCGTTGCCACAGTCTCACCATGTCGTCGAGGTATTCATCTTCTGATGGCATAGTGTTTTCGGAGGATGAAATCTCCATGGACAGCATTTGGCTTGAGGTAGGATCATAGCCCGTAACCACGTTGGCGGTCGCCATCGCCGGGCTGAGAGCCCTCAGCGAGGCGGCGTTGTAGCCGGGAGTGAAGGACGTCCCTCAAGTTGTCAAAACTGAACCCACCTGGACGAAGGTGTTGTCTAGGCGAAGCGGAGAACTTGGCGGTGACGATAAATCCAAGTTTCAGGGGTACCAAGGTGGATGTCCGCAGAAATAGCAGAAAATCTACGGAGGCGATGTGGAGTGCGTCCGTCACCGTCGAGCGCTCGCAGCGCCCCCCTTGGCAGTTGGTTGTGCGGACCCGAGCCGACTCAGCACCATTGCCACGGCTTCGGTAGCATGGCTGAACACACCACTTGGCGCGGGATCGGCTTATCATCCTTGCCCGTGCGCACGTCCACCTCAGGAAGAGCCTGCAGGGCTCGGACAGGAACGCTCGTTGGCTCTAGCGAAACGCCATGCTTCTTACTTGCTGGTCTAATGGCACCAGCTTAGTCTGGCTGCTTCCTTGGGCCAATCGTACTGCTTCTGGCTCGATGACCTCCCTCGCTCAGCCTGTCAGCGTTCCCAAGCTCAGGATCTTCACGTTGGTCACTCTCCTGCACACACCTTCGTCCTATTCTTTCCGTTTTCCGCTTTCGGTTGTGAAAACACTTACGGCAGCCACGTGGTATCTTTCAAAACGAAGAAAATTTATGGTGTGGCAAATCTAAAATTTCAAAGTATTTCTAGAATGACGCTGGTGTACCTGTATATACGCAGCTTACATGTTTAAACAACCATGTTTATTTATTTATTTATTGACCTGTAGAATATGGTGAGGTCCATGAGTGATAGCAGGAAAATGGAGACGCTCACGGGAGCATTATTTTGGAGGTCATTGGCGAAGACATGGTGGTTTTAGTATATATGCCGTAATAAGTGTATGACACATATGCAGCATGACCCACTGCGAGGTTCTCTGCGACCGGGTGGGCGTCATGGAGGCCGGGAAGATCGAGGCTCTGGGCGACGCTTTGCAGATGAACCAGAAGTACGGGCGCAGCTACATGGTGACGCTGCGGCTGCCCTTGGACAAGCGCTTCGACTACTACTTCCAGAGAAGCCTGATCGAGTTGATGCAGGAGGAGTTTCACCAGTGCACCTTCAACCATAACTACAAGGTGTGTATTGCATCCTACACTACCAGACACGCCACTACTAGGCGTGAGCGTATGATTGGCCTATCCTCTTGAAGCACAAAACTTCGAAAAGTGACGCTATGGCGTCACGGGTAGACTTCGCCTTCGAGTTCCATCGGGCGCGTGCTTTAGGGACTGCGAGTTTCTGTCAATTTTCACCTCATATTGTTTACAGCGACATTACGTGACGTCATTTAGAAGATGTCACGTACCAGATAGGATATCACAGCTGAGGTTCACAAGCAGCTTAAGGCGAGATCAAACCAAACAGGAGAACACCCAACCGCTCCTGGTTTCTTCGAAGAGTCCTAACTTGAAACTGACCATTATTGAAGAAAATATTCTAAAAAGAATTTCCAAAGTTCATTACTTCGTGAAGTAATGTTGATGATTGTCACATTACGCAATAAGCCGCGCAAGGCTGGCTCTGATCAAGACTGGCGGCCACCAAGCTGGTCCTGTCTTGGCTCGGCTTTTACCCCCTCACCCGTCGCTTGTTCACCCCTTGCTATAATGCTACACTAAACAGGAATCTACGAGCTCTTCTTTCTTTTTTGTTTGCATTTTCAATTGATTTCTCTCTATTTCTTCAACTGTCTACATTTTTGCCTTTTCATACTGTTGTGTCCCACACCACCCCTGGGTTCCGAGCAATCCTCCGAGCGGTACACAATAAAGAGGTGAACGACCGGTTGCAAACGACTCCGGCCATTAAGACTCCTCCTCTTCCTCCTCCTCCGTCCCCCGCTCGACACAACGATCCGCCGCTCGTTTACCCACGGCAGTTCGGCTGCCACCCCCGTCTGAGTAGGAATAAACAAGGTTTTAACCGTTCAAGGTTGCCTATGCCTTTCAATACCGTTCCAGGAGTACGTGTATGGGACGAAAACAAGCCCAGACATAACACTTGCCTTTGTTTATCTCCTGCTCCCTTTATTTCTATTTTTTTATCTTTGTGTATTCGTTCTGTCGCCCATCAGAGCTCACGCCGGACAAATCTGCGCACTTGGTCTGGCAGTGAATGAGGACATGAAGAGGAATAACAGAGACCCACTAGTTTATGATGATAATGTGCAATGTACGACTGAAGACAAACAGCGAGCGTATAGCATCTCTGCTGTATTATTTGAATTCCATATACCTCCTCCCATCTACTGTGCGCAGGGCATGATGAGCTTCACCGTGGGCAAGACGTACACCAGCTGGAGCGAGCTCTTCACCAAAATGGTGGCCATCAAGAACGACCAGGAACTGCCAGAGTTCTCCATCTCCGACATCACCCTGGAGAACATATTCGTGGGACTCGCTCGCCGACAGATCCTATTCACGGGCGTCCGGCCGCACAACTTTCTCAGTGGAGTGCCCTCGCGCGTCGACACTCCACGCCGGTGATAAGAAAAAAAGCGTTGTTACATGAAAAAAAAAGAAATTTAAACCGCGGGTTCGTTCTCTGGGAAGCCAAAAATACGCAACATAAATGGCGAGATATTATGGCTCTTAAGTGACTCTATCATATGGCTATCATATGTGACTAACATCACACCACGTTCAACCAAAACTCTACGATTTCTCAAACGTGACCTTTGCAGTACTCAACACGTGAACATACTCGCATATAAAACAATGGATAGGCCCAAACGCGAATATACATCTCCCACATTGAATTCTCATAAGATTTACCGTAGAGTTTCCTCAAATTACCTAGAGAGGACTCTGACACTACAATCGTTAAGCGACCATGGGATCGATGGGTAAAACAGATTTGCCTAGTATTCGTTCTTGCGGGCTTTGCAGTCTGAGTAACGCACTTGTGGCTTCGTTTAGAAAGAACGAACTGACTGTATGAAACTTCGTGACCCAACTTGAAATGGTAAGCCTAAGACATTAAGGTGGTGAAGCGGGACTGCTGAACATTTGCCAATTGTCGGCTCGTAACAAATCAACTCTAAGCCACGTGAAGCCAAATGAATCCAAAAGTACGTGTACTACGCACATCATTCCCATGCTCGTAAAAGTGCCGTGCGTCGCTCCGTCATTCGTCATTAAGAAGCAGACTCTGGTTTTGACTCGCTAGCACAGCGTGCACCGTCGTACTGTGACTTTTCATTATAGCCGAACACCTTGCATCCTACCTCCTACGGGCACTGCGCGCAGACCATTATTCTAACGTTGCTCGTCCAATTGTGTGCGTATACGTACATTTTCTTGGTCATCGTCATTTTTTCTATCGCACAGCCTTTCCCGCCCCACCAGTTTCCAATACTTCATCACCTGCCCCTATGAAAGAAACATGATTTTTTTGCAGACAAATATTGTAATTTTTGTTTATATAACTTCCAATTATATAACACCACTCCGGGGCTGTCAAGGTGAGTAAATGAAATGAAATCAGCATTGCTTGGTGTGACTGTATGACGAACGAGAATGATGGGTGGCAACACGAAAATTGTGATGGGCATGTCCTGAATAACACCACTTGTAGGTAGCGCGCTCATTCAAGCTCATGATGCGCTCACGGCCGTTTTGAAAGGTCGATGTACACCGAAATAGGTATTTCGTGACGTGGCTGTGCGAAAAACGAATGAATGGAGATGACATGGCTATCATGACTCGCATTCCTTGTACAGCACCTTTTATACGTAATAATCATGGTGCACCCGCGGCCGGTTCGCTAGCTTGGCATAAACTAAATTGGTATGGATTGACGGTGCTGTATGACAAACGTTAATAACGGGTGGTAACATGAAAATAGTGACATAAATGTCATGTACACCGTGTTACTAAATATTTTTTTCTAAACGAACTGACTTTTCAGATGTCACGCATTCGCATGAAGTATGCATATTTTTTGTGCTGCTCTTCCTCCAATAATCCCTGTTTGAATCAGTAGTCTATATAAATTATGTATGCATGTATGTATGTATGTATGTATGTATCTATGTATGTATGTATGTATGTATGTATGTATGTATGTATGTATGTATGTATGTATGTATGTATGTATGTATGTATGTATGTATGTATGTATGTATGTATGTATGTATGTATGTATGTGTGTGTGTGTATGTATGTATGTATGTATGTATGTATGTATGTATGTATGTATGTATGTATGTATGTATGTATGTATGTATGTATGTATGTATGTATGTATTGTAATGAACTAATGAGCAGCACTTCGCCACTCGCGACGACGTGCTGCACCGACGCAACTACGCACCCGGTGGACGTCAGTGGCTACTCTTGATTCCACGTCATCTGCGATCCGAAATTTGTTCCACGTTTCATGACGGCCCTCAATGTGGCCACGCAGGTTTCCTGAAGACTTATTCTCGCATACGTCTCTGATATTACTGGCGTGGCATGTACCGTTTTATACGACAATACGTTCGGGCCTGCTCGACGTGCCAGAGACGAAAAACTATCCCTTATTACGCCAGCGGTACCTTGTTACCCTTACCATGCCCATCCCGACCATTCGACCGCGTCGGCATCGATATCTATGGTCCCCTTCCCAACACTGCTGACGGTAACCGCTGGATCATAGTTGCCGTCTACCATCTCACGCGGTATGCCGAAACTTCATCTCTTCCCTCGTCTACAGCAAAAGACGTTGCGACTTTCGTACTTCACAACATCGTATTACGTCATGGAGCACCTCGAAAGTTACTGAGCGATCGTGGTCGCGTATTCTTGTCAGACGTCATCACAGCATTGCTGCGTGAGTGCCACGCCGTTCACCGCACTACAAGCGCCTATCATCCCCAGACGAATGTAATGACAGAGCGCTTCAACCGCACCCTTGGTGACATGCTGTCTATGTATATCTCGTCAGACCACTCCAATCGAGATCGAGTGCTCCCGTTTATCACGTTCGCCTATAATACCGCCATTCAAAGCACTACTGGGTTCTCTTCTTTTTTCTTCCTTTACGGACGCGAACCTTCTTGCACTATGGACACCATTCTTTCGTACAAACCTGACTCCTCAGAGTCCACGACTTTGTCTCAAGCCGCTACATACGCTGAAGAATGCCACCAACTGGCAAGATCATTTACAACCCAAGACCAAGGACGCCAAAAGCACCACCATGACGCATCAAATAACACTACTTCCTACGATCCAGGTTCACTCGTCTGGCTGCATGTCCCTTCTGCTACACCTGGCCTTTCTACCAAATTGGTCACCAAGTATCACGGCCCATATCGTGTGCTACAAAAAACGTCACCAGTGAATTACCTCATTGAGCCACTGGAACCATCTTCTGACCAACGTCGTCATGGCTAGGAAATTGCCCACGTCTCGAGACTTAAGCCCTGCTACGACCCTCCCGTGTTTACTTGTCCTTAGGTCGCCAGGATGGCTCCTTATTTCGCGGGGAGTAATTGTAATGAATTAATGAATCTAAATAACGGACGCTCTGCTGGCAATGAAGAAGACGATGATGATTGGTGGCTGTAGGAGTAGCTCGAGCACGCCGCTCGCCATTAGCCAGACCTGCCTGATAAAGCACATTTTGCCAAGCTGCGTCTGAACCTTTTTCGACGTATAACACCTGTAGTTTAGTATGTATGTATGTATGTATGTATGTATGTATGTATGTATGTATGTATGTATGTATGTATGTATGTATGTATGTATGTATGTATGTATGTATGTATGTATGTAGGTATGTATGTCACAGAACGAGCGCTCAAAAAGGGCGCGCCGCCAAATTCTCGCGACGAACCACCGGAGTGACGCCGTGAACTCGACGATAAAAAAAGAAACAAACATCTAAAGACTCCCCCCCCCCCGGGCGCACGACTCTCCCCTCGGAAGCGTGGCTTCGCCGACGAACCTCCTCACCCTACATCGGCGGCTGAGCAAGCACTCGAAATTTCTAGATGGAAAGAGGCGTGGTGATTACGGGTTGAGCCATCCGTCGCGGACGGCCCTCGTATCGTCTCGACCTTTCCCCCAGCCTTCGCTGTGCATCGCGCCGACGAAATGATGAGAACTTTCTGGAATGTCGTGCGGAAGGTATTTAACCGAGCAGCGTAGATGAGAGATCAGGAGAAGACGGAAGTTAGCGCCAGAGCGCGTAGGAATTCCGCCGTGGAGTCGGCGAAGGTTTTGTCCGTAGAGACAAAGCAGGAGAAGAAGATGATTTCCACCTGAGGGGTGATGACTCGAGCTACAGGCAAGAGTGTTTGTCTACCGCTATCGAGCGAAGACGCGTGGCAACAGCTGCGTGTGTGAAGCCGACGTGTTTCCGGCGAAGAAGTTTGAAGCTTGGAGAGTGGCCAACTGAAGACGCGAGGTTTCCTGGAAGAGAAACTTCGGCGAGGTTTTCTGGAAGAGAAACTTCGGGCTCATGGGAACGATAGAGGTTTCCTAGAAGAGAAACTTCGGGGGCAGCGGAACGACAACAACGCTGGACTTTCAGTGAGTGATTCTCGGAAGAGTATCATCCAGACTTTTGTTCCAAGAACTTTGGACTGAATAGGTTTTCTATCTCTTTAGTCTTTAAGTGTCTTGGTTGTTCAATGCATGCGACTGCATTGTAGTGCGTATTGTTGTCTGTGTTCGTTGTTTCGAGTGTGGCGGATTGTACTGTGTAGTACGTTGTTTGATTGGTGACATGTTGTACTCAACTATTGTGGAGTGTGCATACTTGTGTATTGTTTTTGATCTGCCAATATTGAGAATATAATTTTGTTTGTTTATCAACTCTCGGCTCTGACTTGTCCTTTGGGCCACAGCCGGCGTCCGCTGGCGCGCCGAAAAGGACCACTTCTAAATTGTCCACGCTTTGGTGGTGCGGTTCGGGGGCCCGATACTTCGGCCCTTGGAATTAGCCCGGCGATCGCCTCTCTAATTAACGGGACTGTGTGATAATTAATCTGGCGTCCGCGACAGGACCTTTTGGTGCACAGTGTGTCCAAAGTAGTGAGAAAGAGCCTCAGTTGTTGATAGTGCTATCGGAACGATTTTGTGCGTTGCTCGGTGTTCTCGTTAACGAGTGCAGGAGAGTGTTCCGATAGACTGATTTAGGCAAATACTTTTTGCACGCGGCAAGGTTTTATTTGCGAGTTGCGAGACACAATGGATATCGAAAAGTTAGTCACTCTTGGTGAGAAGATGGGTCTTTCTGGCGCCGAACTACGGAAGTGGGTCACACAGAAGGAAAAAGAAGAAAACGAGAGGGCCAAAGAAGAAAAGGCAGCTGAGCTGGAAAAAGAAAGGCTGGCGGTCGAAAGAGACAAAGCGGAAAAAGAAGCTGAGTTGGAGAGAGAAAGGTTGGCAGCTGAGAGAGCCAAGGAAGAAAAAGCAGCTGAGTTGGAACGAGAGAGGTTGGCAGCTGAAAGGGCGAGAGAAGAAAGAGAAGCAAAGGAGCGACAGCTGAAAGA